ATCGAAAAGGCTTGCTTTAATACAGCGCTTTGCTCGGTTTGAGCGACTCAGTAGCGATGCTGAAATTCAATTGGATAAAGCTCCATATTTTTTGAAGGAATTGAAGTTGTTTAAGCTGTATGGTAGTCCCTTTTGGCCTATTGCGTGCCCTTGATTATGAACAACAAATAGGGTTCCCGTTGAGTGCTGGAACGTTTGAGTGCTGGAACAGGGTGTGTGTCGACACGGCACACTTTTCTGCATCTTGTTTAAAATGCCGAGTTTCCAGAGCAACAGAGGCATTCAAAAATTATTACCCCATCCTCGTGAACACAGCGATCTTATGGACTAGACGAGAACAATTGCCTCCGGTGGTTGTGTAGAAAAATCTAGTGTTTTCAACAGCTTACTAGTGCAATATACACAAATAATGAACTCATTGTCTCTAAAAAGAAACAGATGAGGGCGAAACAAAAAACCACCACTAGAACTGGAAATAGAACTGTACTTTATATACAAGGTAACACTTCATTCTCAATTAAGAAGGACATTCAAACAGATTTATTGGCCCGTGGTGAAGTTGGACTCTTCAAAATATAAGGCAACGTTCTAGATTGTGTACGGAGGGCAACCAAAAGCTAATGACGAACCGCAGTTTGTCAACACTTGGCCATGAAGAAACGTGGCATGAGCAAATATGTATAACCTCCTTCGACTCTAATAACCGACTGGAAGCGTAAGTTTAGTGAGTGAGCCATAATTCGAGCACAAAGTTTCAAGAGCCCAGAATCTTCTCAACAGACGCTTTAGCAGATAGAAGAGGAACATATGCAATATTAATCTGGCCTCATGTTTCAACTTCTCAGCAATCAAGTCGATAAAGAAAATTTCACATCGCATTGTGCCTTGGAGTAATTGGCAAAAATAGATTGTTTAACAAAAAGAATACGCATTAAAAGAAAATGTGTTTATGGTTTCATGACGACGAACCTTCCAACTTTGCTCTAAAGTAGCTCGAATCAAGAGCCTCATCGCGTTTAGAACCCATTTCCAGCTAAGCAAGGCACATTAGTTTATAATCGTAGTACGCAATTAAACTGAGTTGTACTTGTAGTAACTAAATGTCCTCATTTTATTTAACTTCTCTCACTTAAATTTCCACTCTTCTAAACTTAAACCATCTTCTAAACATTTAAGGAAAAATAGAATCGTACCTGAAAAATTAATTATATTTTAAAATGCTAACTAAAGACCGAAGACCCATTAGGCAAATTCGAAGACAAAACAACTAATCATGAGTTAGATTGTTTACTGACGTGAAAAGCATTGATGACTTGGGCCCCCCCCCCTGGCAAAAAGAAGCGTTGGAATCATCAACTTGAATGCAAGCCGATAAACAAAATCACATGCTTGGAGACGGCTCTCTCTTCAATAACGCTTACACACACGCACTCTCAATCAAAGATAAGCACGACTACGCTGAAACACTCAGCCGACTATGTCCTGACTATTGGACACAGAAGTATACAAGGCTTCTTTCCCCACGGATCATATGTGAGGAGCGTAGTACGCAATAACGTGACAATAAACAAAAAAGTCATAACATGAACTGAACCACAACGGCCCGACTCTGGCAAATGACATAGGTCGCGACGCGAACCTAACCACCAACCACCTTCAACAAAGCAGAAAACTAAGTGCGACTTGGGCAACACACAATTTCCACTCAGACGAGATGCGTGGCTTTCGCCGAGAGTAGAGAAGAAGCATGAGTCTGTCACGAGCCGAGGGCGTTTGAGGTTAGCAAAGATTCCGCCGCGTCGCAGCGCCGCCCCTCGGCAGCGAGAGCACACAGCGCTCCTGGTGGCCGCGTGGAAAACGAAGCGAGAACGAAAGCACGACGTCGCTCTCCGCGTGCTCGGCGAGCCGCTGCCGCCTGCAATGGCGAGTCTGACCATTGTAATTCTTACTGACATCATTCGCGAGAATGCGCCGAGCTAAGATGACACAGTTACTATCAAGTGGTTTAAAAGTGGTGACGTGTTGAAAAGTGTTACTTGTTGTTCCCCCGCGATCTGGGGAGTACGGGGGAGGTACGGTGCCTGCGGTCTGGCGGTGCCGCCGCGAGTTCAACAGGTGGAGGTGGCGGTGGCGCCTGGCCGGCTGGCTTGTTATATCATTAGGCGACAGGGCGGGGGAGCTGGAAGTTAGGCCGCGGATGAAGAAGCGGGGCGCGGTAAGCGGGGTGGGGGCGGGGGCGGGGGGGTAGGCGGGGCGGGGGCGAGCGCCGGCGCAAGGGCTGGGCGGCGGAGGCTGCCGGCCGTGGCAGAGGCGGAAGGGGCCCAGGGCGGGTGGTGAGGGGGGTATGTGCCGGGGTAGTGAAGATGGCGATGGCAGCGGAAAGAGACGCGGAGGCGGCGAGAGAGGCGCGGGTGGCGCGGTGGGAGGGCGGCGGGGCGATGAATGACGAATGACGATGGTTCTCCTCGATTTAGTTCTGAAGAAAAATTTTGAGTTATGTCACTCCTAACACGAATAGATAAGAGGTGAAATCATCATAGGGTTACGTATCGTAAATAATTCGACAAAACCTGTAAGTATAACTATAGTAAAATCCAGGTTATTTTTGTATCTAAGTAAAATTACTGATTAATCGATAATGTTCCAATTTATGAATAGGCGTTTCTTCTCCTCTATAATAGTTTGACATTGATTAAATCAAGTTCACTTTTCTCTTTGGTGATACGAATCATCATAAGAAATTAGGTCAACTTTTCCAAGACTTCCGCAAGAAAGAGATTATTCTTAGTTCCATTTCTCACTCGATCTTTGAATAACCCATTTTGGAAACCGAGTCATTATATGTTCAATTCAGAGCCTGAAATCAATAGACAGTCGACAGATATATGGAGGTCATCTAACACTTATTTATTTATTCATTTCTCTGAATTGTGTTGTATATTCACAAAGTTAGTCATTACAAGAAAAATAAAATCAATAGTAAAGGTATGTACACCCTCAGTCAACAAAAGGACGGAATTAATTTCTGTTACAAAATCCAAAATGCTATTAACGCTCTTACAAGAGCAAGCAAAATAAACCAAAAGACAGTGACGAATAGATGTATAGGTATGAATGAATAAAAGGCAATGTGTCAATTGCGTCGCCCAACAGCGGCAACGCAAATGGGACAATGGCGTAGACGCCTTGACTGTGGCGCTAGGACGCGACGGAAAGAAAGGAGGCGAAAGGGCGGGGCGAGGCGGCGGAGGGGGGAGACGAGGAACGTGATTGTCGCTGGAGGCAGCTTCGGGAAATAACCCCGGGCGTTCTTTTCCCAGCGTCGCTATTGAATTCAGCTGGGCTTCCCTCCGCATGCGAATCTCTACAAGGCAGCTTGATTGTCGTTTAGGGGTCGCAATCACTGTTGCAAACAAGATGGATGTCACTTGGAAATATTGAGAAACCTCGCGTTTTTTTTTCATCCGAAGGAAAATGGTGTTTTGACACGCCACGCCCGTCCCGCGCTATTCGTTCGAAAATGACAGACGCTTTAACAAGGTCACCATATGTACAAGTTTAAGAACGGCGAGGTTACATACTTATTTTCAAACTTATTTCTCCCGCATTCAGTAATTGACTGCTATCACCTTCTATCAGTTATGGTCCTCAAGATGTCATAGTAAAATAATATTATGTGAATTTTATTCTGCCGAGAATATTAATAATTCAAACTTCTTACTCCAGGTCTTCATTTTAAGAAGCAAAGTGTGCCAAAGCCTGTGTGTATAAGATGAAATGTTTAAGATTGAGAAATACGACGCTATAGATGTTCAAAATAGAAAGTCAATCATCAAAAAACAAAATAGAGTCGACATAAATTTTCATTTTTGCAACGAGATTATTAAATACCTTGCAAATTGTTGGACTACTAACAACATTTCACCAAAAATTCTTTACAATTACGAACAATTTACAATAGAATTGTCTGATGAAATATAAACATCATGAAAAAATTCTTCGTTTAATGTTAGCTTCGTATCTAGGTATTCAAAAACCTCAACTGTCACTATATAAAAAATACCTTACAATGCTACACTTCATTTGGGATAAAATTGTAATTTTCTATGCGTAGAATACTTTTATGAAAATAAAAGATTAAAATTAGGGCAGAACGATAGTAATAACTGAATCAACAAAAAAATGTTGCTATCATTTTGTCTTCTGAAAGAGTTCTTATGTGTAGCAGTACTCTATTACAGTTCCTTTGTGTCAATATATCCTAGTACGGAAGGAAAAAGAACACGCAGCAATATTCAGAACATAAAGGCGTTAAAAATATTTTAATTTTCATCGTTTTTAATGCAGCACTGTTTGGGATTTGATAGAACTTCCGTTGATTACATCGGAATTAAAAACAGAAATTGCTCTACTAATTATAAAATATAACTTTCGAAATTATTAAGCAAATATTATTAACTAAAACATGCGCATTTCGTGCAAATGAATATTCGTATTTCTCAGCGAAGAAGTCCATTCAGGATATCCTTTCGTTGCATTCAATATCTCGTATTGTTTATGTAATTTCGTGTTAAAATAATCATTCCTAATCCCTATGGAGGAACATATTGTTGGTATGAATCCCAATTCTTGTGATATTTTTTCATCACTATCAACATTTGCTTTACACTTGCTTAGGAGAATACTAAAACAGTAAATAAAATGTTAGTACTTATTTAAAATAATATACTAAATGTATATTCCATTGTGCTGAAAATATTGTCGAAAACAAAACAAAAAATCACACATACAACAGAGTTGCAATTCGATGAAAATATTTTTCGAGTAATGAAACCAGGTAGTCTTTCTCTATCACAAGCAGGTACTCACCGAGAATCTCGACGGTGTGCGTGATCTCCTTTGGCTCCATGGTGCCGATCTGGCAGACGTAGTCGCCGGCGTCCGACGTGGCAACGTCGCGGATCTCCAGGTTGTACCCGTCCACCAGGCGCAGTCGCTCGTCGGGGCTCACCTTGGTGGAGCCAGCCGTCAGCACGGCGATGCCGCGCTTCCACACCAGCACGTAGTTGCCTGAACAAGCAACAACACGTTCTTAGAGCAAACGCTTCCACACCAGCACGTAGATACCTAAACAAACAACACGTTCTTAGAGCAAACGCTTCCACACCAGCACGTACTTACCAAATCCAACAACAATTTGTTCTTAGAGCAAACGATTCCACACTAGCACGTAGTTGCCTACTGACAGGAAGCACAATCTAAGAATGAGCTCATGTTTACTTAAACCCTGGCCATACATGCTCACAGCCAACTCTTTCACACTAGGACACAGTCGTCAAAACAAAACAAACACCCACACCACTATCTAATTTTCTAAGCACGGGGCACACTCTACTCTAACCATGTATAGAGCAAACTGAAAAAAGTAGCATGTAGTTGCCAAGCAAATACCTCACACTCAGCTCTATGGCAGTGACAGATCCATTAAGCGAACTCATTCACACCAGCACCTAGTTATTTTCGCGCCGGACAAACATCAGCCACGAAACCAACTCTTCCACGCGAGTACGTAGCAAATGTTGCAACGAGGATGGCCATTATTCATTATTTAATGTTATTATCACAAGACCATGTTTCAAATTTCATTTATTAAATGATGTAGTTTTGCTTAATCAATAAAGTTTGTCATAATAAAAATAACATACTTCTCGATTTTTTGGAATATAAACAATATTAATTCACACGTATTTTTCAGTGTAAATAATTTATGACAATTTAATTTTTGCTTTACAGGTATGTACAAAGAACTCATTGAGTTTTATACGGGAAGCGCTCGCAACGAAATGAAGTAATATTGTTTTTAATTGGTAAGCGATTAATATACCGCAGTAAACGAAAGTGCGCATGTGAGAACGCCAAACAGCTTCGTCGCAAAAACACGCCAACGATAGAATATTTAAAACTCGCCTGATTGATGTTATCTGCTCATTACGCGCCCGGGTGGGTAGCAATATCAAGTTCATTACTCGATAAATTTTATCCGCGGAGCGCATTGCCCGCGTATGTGTAGACAATGCAACTAGCAATCGTAGAGGGAGCTTCAAATGGAATTCGTAATTTTTAGAGTTATACTTGAATGAAACAAAACATTCCAAAACGAATTTTACGGTCAAATACAACATTCATTATATTTTTATACTACTGAAACAAATTTAGGATTGGGAATTGAGATGTGAAGCGGTGTTACGTTGGTTAGTAAATCACTCTAGGACCACTGAAAAACAACTATGACATTGCTTCAGTGAAAATCATACAGGGCGCAAAGCTGCTCAAAAATAATTCAATACACAAGTTGTTAAGTTAATGGATACCACACTGAACTCGTTTAATTAAATAAAAAGAGTAATGGAAATTCAAATGTCTTTTGTTTGGTCGCGATTGATGTGAAAACATACTCCTACCGTTCGGCATAAATGAGAATTTTGTTTAGTTCATTTTTCAAACAATATGGTCTAATAACAAAAGGACTATTTTCCATAAATTTTGAACGTTACGTAATTGATTTGGAAGTCTAACGCAACATTTTGTAAAGGTTTGCTGTTTATAATACATTTAGTACAATGAGAGCAGCATGTAAATAAATTACTTAGTATTGTTGCCCGTTTAATTGATCCTGAACACCGTATGACATAAATGCCTAATGAAGACTAAAATTACAACGTTGGACGCGATTCAATAACATGTTCACTCAATTTTTAAATACAACATAATGTGATGAATCATATTTTTTCCGTAACAACTCCTAGAATTTGATGAATATTAGAAGACGTGAAACCCTGAATTAAAGAAGATCGTTAATTTAATTCGTCACGTTTCTTTACAATAGAAATGAAGTAAGAATAACATCAAAGCACAAACGTATTCATGGCCAAAGTGTGAACATGTCTTTGAATGTTGGAGTTCTTTCTACAAGTTCTCGTCCACCGGGCTGCTTCCCATAGATAAGAATGAGAAGGTCCTACCCAATGAAAAGTAATTGGTAGGTGCTTATGATATGGACGTATAAATGAGAAGGGAATAAACCAAATGAGTGTGTAGGCTTGGCGGCCGGAGTCAGGAGGTACTTGACTGTCCGGTACACGACGCGTCCCAGGCACAGACGCCAACGTTTTCCCTTCCGTTTCGCCCTGAGAACAAACGAAATGTTTTGTTCTTTCTTCTTCAAATCTTTGTCAGTAATATTCTTTGCAATCTTGCGCTCTTATTTGGTTTGATGACACTAACCATTGTTGAGCTGCTCGAGTTTTTATTACTTTCCCTAGATGGTATACTAAACAAACAAAGCAATGTGTGACGTTACTCACCGTAAGCTAATGGGCAAAGAGGCTTACAATAGAAATTTAATTTTAAAGGCAAAGTTATTTATACATCTTGGGAGTCACATTAATGTCGCAAATTTGAAGTGGCCGGGTCACCCACAACCAGAGCATTAGAGAGCTTTCCCTTCAGCAAACGGTTCTGCTCGTGCCCCCTGTAGGTTCAGGGTTTTCTC